TATTTACCCTTCAAGCTGTACTGGGCAAACAAAACAAGGTGGCTACACACCTGCTCAGCAGGACAGCTCCTGCTATCTGCATTCATGCTAACCCATTGCACAGTCTCTCAGTGAAGGACCTTATGTAGATGAGATTATTACTTTTCACTCCATGTGCCTTTTCACATATACAAATTCCTCCATCACAGTTTCTTCTATTGGAGTGGGAGAACCTTTTGGCAGTATAATACCACTGGCATGAGACAGAGTGGATGTATCCCTTGGTTGGGAAAAGTAGTAAAAGTGTAAACCTGGAAGAGTAGTACAACCCAATCTCAATGCTAAGAACTGAACCACCCCTAGTGATTGTGACCAGCTGGATTGGTTTTAAATTCTCTTCAGAAGATAGATCTGGGATTAGTCATTTCTGAACCTGCATATTCTTGTAAGTTTTTCTGATATACCATATAGCTTTACATATTGCCCTAGCCACATTTCATTTATATGGTCTGCTGGTTGAACATCCTTTACATTCCACAAACCTTTGCAACACCTTAGAAAAACAAGAAATTATTTAACAGATTCTTCTAAACAACCACTTGTATTGGGTGAAAAGTATTCTTTGCTTGTGATGGATGTAGTCACTCACCAACTACTGCTCCCACTAAATCAACTAATTGGTTCCATAAGTTTCTCTTTCTTTTGCTCACATTTTTAGTTTCCTTCTTCACACTGATCCCTCCACTATCTTCTCAATGTGGGATTCTACATCTTTGTTCTGTGGAGAGTTGAGTAGCATAGTTTGAAGTTAACATTTACTGTACCTGAAAATGCACTTGAGATAGCTACCTCTCCACTGAATCCCTCATCACCCACTTTTGGTGTGCCTATTTGCCTCAGAATGAGTTTGGTTTCCACAAATTTCTCAAGGGGAGTAGCACATAAAGAGGCTACCACTCCACCTATTGGTGAAGTGGTATAGTCTATTGGTGATTGCATCATAGCCTAGTGCAGCACATGCTGTTTCGTGTAGGGGTGAAAACTTCTTCAAAAGCTTTATGCATGTATAAAAACTTTTGGGCACCAGTGCCAAAGTGCTAACTATTTATTATGTGGAGAGGCGAGTATCTATATGGAATACATTATCAGGTAAGGAAAATATTAAATTTCTGGATGGCTCTTTTTGGATATCTCCAGTGCTTACCTTTATGTTTTTTAACTGTTCAAATAGTTTCATTGTTTTGGTAATGGGCAGAAGTTTTTCAGTTCTCTGCTATGCCTTTTAGCTTTATCTATAGCATCTTATCAAATTTTTTGAATTTTATCCCCAGCTATTCTAATTTTGTAATAACTTAGTTAAAAATGCTATTAAAAATGTATCTTGGTTGTCTCCAAATATAGTTCAAGCTTGCTATCCTGTTGGGTTCATTTGATTCAATCCTCCCAATTTCTGACTGTTATTTAAGCAAATGTATATTTTGGACCTGCACTGGACTTTAAAAGACCTGTAGAGTATGTTTACAGGCGTTTTGAAATGTCCTGTTCATTTTATATTTAGGATTTTTTATTTTGTAGTTGAACAAAACCAGTATTACTTTTGGAAGTTTCTTTCTTGAGTTCTTTGTGTTTTTAATACCCTGAAGCTGCATTTTTTTCCTGATTACATTGCCAGGTTTGGAACATATTGTAATGTTTCAGTTATATTACCATTTGAGTCTGTACAGCTTTGTTTATATCTTCTGGTAAGTTTGATAATTGGAGCTCTGTCCTTTTTTGCTGTTTAAGGTACTCTTCTGTGTTAAGTTGTTTTAAAAGAGGTACTTTTATTCCTTCAAATGACCCACATCTTAGCTTGTTTTCATTCTATACTTTCTGTTCATTATTCTAGAGAGGATTCTTAGTCTATAGTGCAAATTTTTTCTGTGCTAATAAGCTTGTTATTGTTCCACTCAGTTGGCATATATTTCCTTTTTTGTAATTTCTTCAAATATTTTATTGTTTTTACATCTGTGAATTTGTTTTCTTCTATATTCCGTTTTGTTTTTATTGGAAACCTTTACCATTAAGTTTTTTTTCTTGTGTGTTTATTCTACCAGATTTCTCTCTATCCTTGTGTGGTATATGGATATATGCATTTCTTTCTTGTAATATTACATTACTTATCCTGAAGCTAATCTTTGTTCTGCATATGTACAGGTTTCAAAGAAAACCATTGAGTTCATTTCTCTCTAACTACCTTTATTATTCTTGATGGATAATACCCATTCTACTTTAGGTAGATATTACTGCAGTACTGCATGTTGTGCAAGAATGTCGATACTAATGTCCTTCAGTGGTCAATCAAGTGATATGTAGTATCTAGAGGTTACAGTCTCACCTTTGCTGGAATGAGAATTACCAGCCATGTGAGTAGCAGTAGTTGCTCTTCATAATTGTGACATTTCTTGGAAACTAAGGAACATTGGATTTAAACAGTTTGGAACAGGATCTTGAAGGAGAAACATTTGAAAGAATCTAACAGAAGCAACAATCTGTTGTGCCATAAAGCAAGCACATACCTATTGTGCCTGGGTTTCATGTTTTAATAAAGAGGGTTCATTTTACATTTTACTTTGTGTCAAGTTGTCATTATTCCATTTAACATCACAACTCAGTTGGTAAGAGATTTAGCATTACTTTGTGATTGATATCTTGACTGAATTTCCAGTTAAGAAGCAGACCCATTCAAATACTCAAAAATTAACTCAGTTAATATACCACACTTGGAAACTTCCAGATCACAATAGTTTTGTAGCTCTAATGGCTCTTACTTTTTTTTTAGCCTCTTGTTTCTTTTCCATCTTCATCATTGCATAGATAGATGTCATCAGTATATTTATGCTATTGATGCAATTTCAATATTCCCTTACAGAGAATAGCTATTTCTCTTCTTTAATCATAACTTTATCCCCCAGACTTTGGAAATACAAAAAAAAGTGATAATGGTTTTTCTTTTTTTACTTTTAAACTTTTTTTTATTGTTATTTGGCTTACACTTAGCATGGGTATGGTCCTTAATTGTAGCAGGTTATGAATCCATTTCTTACTTTTTAAAGTAGGATTTAACTCTCCTTTCTCTTTCTGGATGATGATTAAATTCCTTCATATTTAAAATATACCACCACAGCTACTACAACTTAATGGATCTTAGGAAGATGTAAAGCTCTTCTTTTACTTTATTATATTATATTTATAACCAAATACTGACTTTTCTGCTTCTGGGTACCAGCTGTGTCCTGTGGTTGTTTTGTAGTCCATTTACAGATTTCAACTATGGTTCAAGTACCTCTACAAAACAAGTTAGCTTTTGTTGCTGACTTGTTTTCAACTGTGGTTCAGTCTCTTAATTAAATAGATCTGACTCTTGCACTTATCTCATGCAGCATTTTCAGTTACCAAGGAAATTCCCAATTACTTCTGTTTCCCACTGCCAATTCTTGGGCTACTTTTTTACAAACGAAAAGTAACCAGTAACTTGGTGAAGAGAGATTGTTTTATACAATCCACAGACTGTATGACCTCAGCCTTAAAAATATCTTCCTTCTTTTCTCCATTTTGTAACAAGATAGAGGCCTGGTAGTTAGGGAATCTGAATCACAATCAGTGGGTTTCGAGTTGAATCATGTCACCAAACATAATTACCCTTTCAGCCATGGAAAATTTATAATATGATGGTCAACCTCACTTTTCATATGTAAAAGAATAGCCCAAGAATTGTCAGTGGGTGACATTGATTAGCTAGCTGCCTTCCCTCTAATATATCACTTATAAATTAGAGATGGCTAACAAAACTATCCCTTGAATAGCTTGTGTGAAATTAAAAAATATAAAAACAAAAAAATTCAAGATGGATATGTTTACATTTGTATTTTTCCTTTTTTTCCATTGTGAGAATTTTCATTTCTTATTCATCCAAAGACATAGTAGCATTTTTGAAACTTGATAATAAGATTATTATTTTTTTAATGTTATGGAGTTAAAATATGAACCTTAACTAATTTTGCAAAAAGGCATTACACTTTCTTTTTTTTGCTGGGACTTTAAAGAAATCCCCAGTTAGTTTATTAAGGTGTTTATGGAAATAAACAAAGAATAATGTTTTCTGATTACCAAAGTCAGTTGAGAATTGGTTGCATAAGTATGAAAAGCAGGATTTTAATACCTTTTAAATATGAAATTATCAAGAATACTAAAAAAAATTAAATCAACTTTAATTATGATGGAACAATTATAAGTAATATCCCATTCATTGTTTAACCATTGCAACTGTAGTTTCATTTTGCATGATTTCATATGTAGCTGTAGTAGAAGTTCAGTCAAGCATTATGCAAAATAAAATGTAACAGTACTATTTCAGGATTGAGTACATTATATTAAAATAATTTTGATTGTGCAAATCAGCAAGTCACATGATAAACCCCATCACTATAAATTTCTGGTGGAATGGAATGTCTCAGAACAACATTTTGACATTTTTGGCATTTTGTAGATAGTGTAATGCTACCAAAAATGTATCACTTTTGGATAGAATATGTAACAGCTCTCTCCAATGCATAATATTCATAAACTCAGATCATAAAGATGTGTTCAGATTGGGGATTTATAATTCCCAAGATGGAGATATTCCTTGTACTGAAAGGCATTAGAAAACAAAGAAATATGGATAAATTTGGGGCACCAAGAACATCCAGAAAGAGACCTGCAATAAATTGTACCCTAGCCATGGTAAGCAAAGTGTGGCATCTATGGATTTCTGTGCATTTGAATTGTTAAAACAGGTGCTGGGAAACCAACTTTCTTGTACACTTGATGGATTATGGAAACATTCAGGGAGAAGGTTGTGATTTGACCATGACAGCCTTGCATCATTATCTTTTGCAGTGTAAACAACATTGCAGGGCTATTGTTAAGATGAAGGATTGTCAGACAGAGTATAACCATGCATGGTGACATGGACTGTAATGATTTGGTGATGTTCCAAAATCCTTTTAATATAATGTACTCAACCATTTGTATATGTTGAAATTTAAATGTGGACTTTATTTACATTGAAAAATTGAAACTAGTTTATGGCCAAATATTAGTTGTTGTTGTATTTTTTTACATACAAAATATTTAATTAATTTTTTGATATAATGTTACTGTTGTAGTTTTTTACTTTTAATACAAAGTCCAATTATAGCATTATAATGGTTGTGCCACCATATTGTGCCAGGTGGTTAAGAAAAAAAAGGCCACTCACCATGTGAGGACATTTTCATTTTCATTCTGACAGGATTAAAGTTGAAATTTAGTTCAATGGATAGCAACTGCCTGTTGTAGAAACACAAGTATAGAGGATGACGTTTCAAAAGTCTTCCACCATTCCTGTCCATTCAACTAAATTTCATCATGAATACTCTGCCTAAAGAATCTATGAAAGGATTAAAGTTTTCAAAATTTCTTAAATCAAAGCTTAAGCCTATTTTTAAAAGTGCATGGTGCAATAGATGGCATGCTCTGCTGCATTTGTTATAGTGATTGTGTGAGTGTGTAAGAAAGAAAGGATTATAGTTTCCTTTTCTGTATCTTTGCTAGATGGTTGTCTTTGCCATTTTAAAAGTTTTTCTCCTGCTTGCCTACCCAATTTCCTTCTCCCTTTCCTCATAGGTATGCCGAGAGTTCCAGCGCGGAAATTGTAAACGAGTGGAAACTGAATGCCGCTTCGCTCATCCTCCTGAGCATGTGACAGTGGATAGTACTGAAGGCATGGTGACAGTCTGTATGGATTTTGTTAAAGGACGGTGCATGCGGGACCCATGCCGCTACTTTCACCCCCCACCTCACTTACAGGCACAGCTAAAGGCTGCCCAAAGCCGAGCTAATGCAGCTGCTCTGGTAGGATAATAATTATATCACTGACTTTAGGATGTCTCATTTCAGGTTTGACTTAGAAAATAACTTCTTTATACTTTATTGTTTGCCTGTACTGCAGGCTATGTGTGCATCCTTTTCCCTCCTTTTCTTCCGCACATTAGAGAAATAATGGCATGAGTCTAATGTAACCAACTATTCTTTTGTTTAGCTCTGCTTAAAGAAAACAGTAATTCCAACATTATTTCATTTTGCCCAGAAAAAAACCTGGTTATACATGAAGCATATACTACTAAAACATTAAATGTATATGGAATGAATGATGAACTGAATATATAACTGAAAATTATTTCAAACCTCATTAATAAGTACTGTGCATATGCTCATTTAGCATAATTAGCACAAACTGCTTCCTTACCACATACCCAGAAGAAATAAATATTTGTATACTTAGATCTCTTATCATATGTAAAATATATCAGTAAAATTACTTTCTCTATAGAAATTTTCTTAGTACAAACTACATCTGGAAGGTACAGAACGTATTTATTTTTTGTTGTTAACAGGTTCCAAATCACATAAGACTTATATATTTGTACTGGCTATGAATGCTACTGCCCAACACAAAAGATGAAATATTTCTATACTTTTGTGCCAAATTCAGCATGCAATTTGTGCATTAGCATACATATTTGGTATATAAATATACAGTGCATTTCTACCTTCCTATTTGAATATACTATTATTCTGAATTATTCAGTTATTTCTGTGTATGTGCAATTTTCACATAACATGGTCAAGAAAGTTGTTAAATTAATATCGTTTTAGCTGTGTTTTTTTTTTTTTACCATTTTATTGAAATCACACCTGATTTGCCCATGAGGCATGGCAGTATACTGCACGTTGTGCAAGAATGCAGAAAACAGTGTCCTTCAATGATCATTCAGGTGGTGTCTCATGGTTGTTGTCTCTACTATGCTTGAATGAGAATGATCAGTCATGTGGGTGGTGCTAGTTAGTTTGTATAAACCTGATGTTACTTGCTAATAAAGAATGTTGGATTTAAACAGTCTCATAGGTGATTTCAGCCTGATCAGTTGAAGATAACTAATCCAGTAGAAGTGACTGTAGAAGTGTGTCTGTAAAGCAAGTATTAGCATTGTATTTGTATTTGTAAATATATAAAGGTTACTTGTATTTTATAATGTGTACAGTCTCTTTATTTCATACTAACTCAGCATTACTTCATAATAAATATCTTATTGAACCCCCTTTTATTAAGTAGACCTATCCCCCCCCCATTGCTCTAAGGTTAACTTGATTTCCTTGAATATACCATATAGTGGTTAGGAAAGAGAAAAATTTTAATTCCATGACCAGGATATTTTATTTTCAAGTTTTATGTTCTCTGTTGATGTGTATTGCTCTTCACTTGAAGAATTTATGAATAAGAGGAAAAGCCCGTCACTGAAGGGAGACACTTGTAGGAGAGAGTGGTCTGATCTACAATAATTCCTTTCCTGGACATTGGGCATTCATCAATGCTGTGATTGTCCATAACTACTTTCTCATTGTTGCCATAGACTTGGGAAGAAAAATTTCCAGAATCTGGTACACCATGAATGGCTGAGGATTGATCTCAGTGCAAGGAGAAGCACAGATGACTGAGGGTTGTTGAGGTTTTATGGTGTCTGTTGAGTCTGAAACCAAATGGAGCAGTCTGTATAGGATTTGCCACCCAGAATAACCCAACCCCAGTTCCAGTTAAAGCCACCTGAGAACAACAGAGAGAGACTGGAGGTGCTATTGGTGCACAACATCAGCCAATAGAAGTGATCTTATTAGCAGGTGAGATGAAAGACACCAAATGGTGAAATAAGTGAACCAAGAAGCAGTGGTGAGCCTCTCCAAACCAAGAAGTATACTGCTGAAACAGCCATAGATCACAATGAAGCCTGGGGTTGTGCAGAGATGATGGATGAACTGCTGATCACACCTCATCATTCTGCCACCCTTTAGCAAGGGTGTAATGCTTGTCAGATCTCTCAGGTCCATGAGCACATCCACCACACTGTACACCCAACATTTATCATGTCTGATCCTGGTGTTGGCCGAGAGTTCTTGGTAGAAAGGCTTATGATGCCTTACTCTAAGTAAGTCTAAGCAGATTTCTTTCTTACATTTAAGGATACAGCCAAGGAAAGTCTGGACTATTTCTTTACTCATTTCAGCAGTTCTGTGTTTGGAATGAACAGATTAAGAGACAGGCAGTGCAGTGACTGATGCTGAATCTGTATGGTTCGATGCTTGAATAAACCAAGTATTTGGATAAGGATGAAAGAACTGTGTGTATTTGTCTGGCTATTTGCAATGATCCAGATGAGGAAGCACCAGATCTAGAGGCAAGAGAGACAGCTCCAACAGTTAGCCAAGCAGGTGGTAGCCTCCAAATCAATATGGCTGGAATTAAACCTGATCACATAACAGCTGTGATGATCATATAGTTGAAATATCAATGATTGAGAAGAAGTGCTGTTCCTTGCTTTCTGAGCTACTGGGTGTTGTTGTAAAGTACAGTATAGGCACTATATTGTATGATTACCACTCAGTTACTTAAAGTTAGTACACTTTATTGATTGCAAAATTAATAGGATCAAAAGGGTTTCATGACCCTTACTTTCTGATCTGTTAAGCTGAATTTTGCTATTGGAGATATCAATAGGATATCTCATGATAGTTGCTCGATTAACACACTTAGGATGCGTGGTGTTAATAGATCTAATAACTAGATCATCAACACTTTGCACAACTGAATGATGGTTAAGAGTTCAAAAACATGGCTGAAATGGCTTTGCAACCTTTGCTTCTTGAACTACCAAATGATTTTTTGAGGCGTTTGGCCCAGTTTCTTAAGAATTAATCACCAGATGCAGCTGAATAGCAAAAGCTCTATGGACCTTATCTTGCTAAATCTTTCCAAATACACCTACAGAACATATAACTTCATCATATGCAATGATGGAATTGTGTTTCCTCTAGTAACAGAATGAATATTAATGTTAAGTTATGAGAAGTTTAGTTGAATTCTGTTAGTGATTATTTCATAATTCTGAAGATAATGTGTTGAGTGTTTCCACTTAAATGGTAGCACCTTAACATGGCCATTGAGACATAGATATAACCAGAAATGAGTATTCAAGTAATCTGTGTAGAAGCTGGAGGGAGTCTGTTTTTAGATAGTACTGTATGTGCCAACATGTAATTAAGATATATGTATATGCCAATCTATATCTATAAATAAATATATATGTATGTGGTTTACACACATAAATGGATCAATTACAAAAAAGAAGACACTATAATGCAACATATATATATGTAAACAAAGGATCTGATTTGAATATTAGACTTTGTGATATGAGGTTAATTGTGAATACTAACCTGTAAGATATTTCGAGATACAGTGCACCTGCTATTTTCTTTAATACTAGCGAGAAAATGTTTAAACTTCGACACTGTAATATTCAGCAGGTATTGAATTTTTGGAAGGATAACAGTAATAAGAAAACATAATGTTCTGGAACAACATGGGACCTATTATTCCATCTCAGCTGTTCCATCTTCTAAGCTAAATTAAAACTAAATTAACAAAAAAAATCTTAAAACCAGCCCTTATCATTCATTTACTTATCAAGCTTTTTCTTAAACTCGTTTAAATTTACTGCCTCTGCAACATCTGAAGGCAACCCATTCCAAAGGCCAACCACCCTATTAGAAAAATGAAACTGTCTTAGCTGAAGATGACTCCTACCTTGCCAAAATTTATATTCTACTATTCTCACTGTTAAATATGAAAAACGATGATGCAACCTAAAATTCCATTTGCCCTACCACTAGCAACAGCACACTGCATGGATGGTTTTAGATACTGATCAACTATTACACCAAGATCCCTTTCTTTCATGACACATTTGCCCAACTCACTAAATTATCTAAATCCTTTTGTAAACCAACAGCATCCTCTTCACATCTAGCAACACCCAAGACCTTAATATCATCTATATCATTGACATAAATCAAAAAGAGCAAAGGTCCTAAGACTGAGCCCTGAGGTATCCCACTTGTGACATTAATCCAGTTTGACTGAACTCCATTTGTAACAACCCTCTGCTTTCTTCCATCAAGCTACTCTTCTATCCAATTTGCTAACTTATCCCCCACACCTATAGAGATAATTTTTTTACAAGCCTTTTATGTGGCACCTTGTTAAATGCTTTCTGAAAATCTAGATACACCAAATCTACACCCTCATCTACATAAGCATTAACCTTTTCAAAGAATGTCAAAAGATTTGTAAGGCAAGATTTTCCCTTGGTGAAACCATGTTGACTCTCCAATAAAATTCAAAACTTTGTTAAATGACTTTGCAAAGCATTTTTTAACAGACTTACCAAAACTTTTCCCACAACTGATGTAAAACTAATTGGTCTATAATTACTTGGATAATTTTTATCACCTCCCTTGAAAAGAGGAGTTACATTAACTAACTTCCAATCCTCTGGTACCTGCCCACTATTCAAGGACTAACAAAAAATAGTAGTAAGTGGCTCACATATTCAATCTTTAACCTCCTTCAAAACCCTTGGGGAAATATTATCTTGCCAGGAGCCTTATTATTCTTTAAATTTTCCAATGTTTTCTTAACCAGTTCAGAATTAATGTAGTCATCTTGTTCGATCTCGTTTCCATCTATCAACTATTCTAGATGTGGAATACTGCTTTAATCTTCAAAAAACCAAAGAAACCAAAAATTTAATAACCCAGCCATTTCATTATCATCAGATACTAGCCTTCCTTTATTATCCCTCAAGGGTCCTAACCCCATACTAACATTTTGTTTACCCTTAATGTATTTTAAAAAATCCTTTCTGTTAATTTTTACATGTTCAGCCAACCTTTCCTCATACATCCTTTTTGATGTCCTAATTTCCTGTTTCACCAACTTTCGTAATCTAAATCTCCTG